TTTGGTCAAAAACTACCATCTGTCCAATAAGGAAGTCTATCTACACTTTAAAATGTTTGGTTCCACTTGAAGCCTCAATCCACACTAAACTGGGAAACTAGCAGGAGATTGTAACTGTTTCGCTGGACAACCAAGTTAACTCCAACTAGCAAAACAAACCAATACCAATGCATTTTTAACACTTAAATATTTTCATTTGTAGAGGTTATACAGTTGTAAAGTGGCATTATAAGAGACACCAACAAAGCATCTACAAAAACAATCTCCAACTTATTGCCACAGAATTGCTGATTTCTTACTTCATTGTGGCCAGATTTTGTTATGGTTTGATTTTTCTGATTGAAATGCAGCAAAACTCCACCGGTCTGTCTTTACACTGCAAAAACACAAAATCTTACCAAGTTTTTTTTTTCCAGTTTCTAGTGAAAAAAATCTTTGTACACTTGAAATCAGACAAAACTTACCAACAAGTAGCTTTTCAGCAAGATACTCGAGATACTGCAGCTTGTTTTGAGTACAAATACTAGTTCCACTAGTAGATTTTTTTTACTTATAACAAGACATTTTTCCCATTTTATAAATGAAATAATCTGCCAGTGGAGCCAGTACTTTTACACTTTAAAACAAGCTCACATATCTCGCTAAAAAGTTACTTGTAAGTTACATTTGAAATAAGAAAAAACTTTTAAAATTTTTTTTTTAAGGTTTGGTTGATCCTAATTTTTTTCTAAGTTTATCCTACATCTGGATTTATTCTGCTGGATTGATTGAGTCAGCTACTTTCTGAATATGGCAGTGAAGCTGTTGATTCTCAATCAAATAAAATTAGCTCCATTCATTAATTTTTTTAAAGACAGAATGTATCTTTTACGAAAACATATTTGTTTAAAATGTCATTATGCCCTGACAGTTTCTTATGAGACAGATAATATGTGAAAAGACGAGCTACTATTGCCGTATGTAGAAAAGTAAAATATAAAATAAATAAAAAAGAAACTGACAAAAACAATAGGTTTACTAAATTGTTAAAACATGTAAAAAATAAACTGCAACAAAATAAGAAGTGCAATTAGGAATTATAAATATAATGTAAAATAAATCATAAACCATGATGTCGCTCAGAGCACAAGGCATAGAATTAGACTGAATAGATCTGCGTTTATGGATCAGGCACATGGTCATCAATAACCAATAGATTTTTTTTTGAATATTCAATACTTTCTCAAAACTAGATATTAATAGTCCAATCACATTTCTTTACTATTGCCTTCAGTCAGAGGCTTCTTCAAATTCACTGTAACACAGACTGCTACAAGAGATATTTCCTACCAACAACAATCACTATCTACAATAACTTTAATAAATTTTGAATTAATACAAATTACAACATTAAATTTCCCTTTGGGATCAATAATGTGGTTTTGAATTTAAAACTCAACTGTTTAAAAATCGGAGGCCATTTCAATCCCAAGTGTGCAGAAAATACTTGAAATAGCTTTAAAACTTTTTTTAACATAGTTGAATGCATTTGAAAAACTACTACATAAAGAGGTAAAGGTCGGACATCTTCCTTATTTAATCATTACTTCCACTTGACTGCATCAAAGCTTTTTTCTATCACAACAGCCATTTGAACTTCATCAACCATTTAATCCAGGTAACCATTTTTATAAATATGTTACTTTTAGCGATCAACATTAAGCTTTAGGTCTTACTTTAGTACAGCCATGTTTTTATTAATAATCAACTGCTTGATAAAATACACATCGCCTCTTGACTGTCGGTACTTTAACTGTGTTTTCTACACACATCTTAAAGACAATTTGTTTCTCAATTTTCAGGAGTTAAAGCACGTCTCACACACATACACACGTTTGTGTAGCTATCTTTGTTGGGTCTTTCCATTGACTTCCATTCATTTCTATAGTCTGAACCTTACCATTACATACATAACCCCAACTCTATTCAAAACTTAGTCCTAAATCTAATCCCGGACCCCTGACCCAAAACCAGCATTTCCCCTTGTGGGGACCAGGCTTCAGTCCCCACAAGGAGCAGTGGGCCCCCACAACGTAGTGTCAGGAAACCCACACACACACACACACACACACACACACACAGCGTTCCTATGTTTGAACTGCTGTTGACTCTGCCAATAGCCTCAACTTGGAATTTCTAATAAAGGACGCTGACCGTTCCAGCAAAAACCCATTGAAGGTAGATAAACATCCCGTTCCTTTCCGAAATAACCAACCCCCAACTTATTGATGAGCCAGTGAGACCAACTACAGGTCTATTAACAAAGAGCCTGTGGTTAATTGCTCAGAGCTTTCACACGTCCTGGGAGCCCTGATAACATTCAGCATGCAAGTCAGAAAAGTGTTTAATTTAGCAATGTCAGGCTAAGTATTTTAATTTACGTCTTATGTTGGGCAATGAATGGTGCTGAAAGTAGGAATTGGGGCTGACAAACATATCTCAATATAAGTGTCTCATATCAGTCAGTATTGATGATTATCGACTAGTTTTTTTGTTTCAAATGTTGGAACCTTTCCTGTTGTAACCAGTTTTCACTCCGTATTGTTGTTTCTTATTATTAACTTTAAACTGCTGCCGTGGCAGCTTGTTGATCCCGGCTAGAGAAGTTAAATCCCCCAGAATGCAGTGCATTTCTGCATCGCAGTTCAGTGAATTATTGAACATTTTATCGGCTGCATCATCTATCGATTTTGATTACGTGTGTATTGGAATATATATTATTAATGAATTTATCTTCATTTATGGATGATACGAATTAATACAATCAGTAAAAATCTAACGTTACTCTTATTGAGCCTGATTAAAATGATTCACCAGTCCAAATGGATGTAAACGAAAATTTAACCCTTTAATCTGCTCCAGCAAGTCAAGATCCTCCAACTATTTAATGAACGATGTGGTTTCACTGCAGGCTTCTCAGAAACTATCAGCAATTATTACTACAATATGGCTCCTTTTTTATACTACAGATGTGAGGCAACTCTGAGTTGATGTCAATCTCTGGGTTTTTTTTAGGTCTGAGCTGCTCACTTTGATTTTGACCATTTTAGAGTTTTTCTTCCCCAATGTTTTTAAAAGATAAAAAAAGGTTCCCATAGCTTTAATTCTTTTGCAAAAATAAAAGATTATTTCCAACTATACATCAAAGCATGAGTTATGGAGTAAAAAGCAGCGCACAACCTGGATAGTTCACCAGTTCATCTCTCATCACCTTTATCTCGAGCTAAACTAAAAGGCAACAAAGTGATTTATCATTTAATGAATAACATGGAAATAAATAGTATCAATCAGAGCCAATTTAGCTGATACAAACATCTGGTGATAAAGTTCTGCATCAAAATTAGTTTCTTTGTAGTTTGGGTCGTTTTATGCACACATTTGTAAATATCTAGCATATATGAATGTACATCTGGTTATGTTTGCTGATAACCGACGATCTAATGTCTCAAATGAGGTAATGCAACTCATAAATAATATTTACCAGTAGATGTTTGCCTGGGGTTATTTTGGAGGTTTAGTCAATAATATTCCATAAAAGAGCAACAAATAAATGGAAATTTGATACAACACAAAGTTTTCAGAACAAAATACAATTAAAAGTATTTTTCTGGTTTGAGGTTTGTTTTTAAACAGTTCATCTCTATAATTTATGAAGAGCTCTAATAAATATATAAACTGTTTTAGCCAAAAGATGTTTACATAAATTAAATTGAAGAGGAAATAAACTGTGAATGCAAAGGTGCAAACTGAGTAGGAAGTCTGTTTATTCCACATGATGGTTTTTGAAAATCTTGACAGCTGGTACTAAAAAGCGTGTTATTAATCTGAAAATTATTATTTCTGATCTTATTTTAACAAACAGAGACCAGAATTGGCCATTTTTATCCTAATCAGCAATGAGGAGGCTGGTTAAATACTAAACTGTTCATTAAAAGCATCAAAACTAAGAACTCCCACCATGTTTCAGACTATAAAAGGCATCAACATCTATTTCAATATACAATAGTTTGAGGTTTAAAAAACATTCCAGGTTATGGACTTGTGTCTCGTCTTATTTCTTGCAGTTAAAAACAATTGCATTGAAATTATGAGCTCGAACTTGAAAGAAAATCAGAAATCAGTATCAACTGTGCATTTCTGGTAATTAAATGCTGAAGCACTGGTAGGAATCCACCGTTTTGAATATATTAATAATGTGAAAACTGAAGGAAAACCAGGTTAAAAGAGAACAATTTGTGAATAAATCCTTGGAAACAGAAGAAAGGAAAACAGAAGTAGCTGTTTTCATGCAGAGAGTCACCAGCCCAGCTGTCCCTCCACCCGCTGGCCTCATTAATCATAATATGTTATATTGACATGAGGCTTTTCAAGGGGAATCCACAGAGAACGACCAATCAGGAATGATTCAGAGCAAGAAAATCTTTTTCTTAAAAAACATCTGGGAACCATCACCATCGTCAGCACTAGCTTTGGATTCATGATTTCCATAAACACATCAATACAGCAGCAAAAATTACCTCTGCTCTCATTTTTCGCTGCAAAAACACTAAATATCACCAAGTATTTTTGGCCTAGTTTCTAATGCAAATATTAGAAATAAGACAAAACAAACTCACAAGTAACTTCACCCAGATGTAGGAGCTCGTTTTAAGTGAATAGTTCCTTAATGTTGCTGAAATAGTCCTCGTTCCAATGGCGGTTTTTTCACTTTTAATGTAAAAATATATTTTCATGAAGTGAAATAATCTGCTGAAAGATTGTTGTTCTTTCAGAAATTGGCCTTTTTTTATCTGCTGGCATCAAACTCAGTTAATAATTTCAGTCCTAAACAGAAGCTGCAGGTGTTTGTTTTGACTTTAAAGAGGTTAAAACATTTATAAAGCTTTTTTAGGACAAACAGACATCTGCACCAATAGAAAATATGAACACTGTCGCCAACTCTGGAATCGAGTGCAGCCTACCAGTTTGAAGAGCTCATCGTAACCCCAGTCAGCGAGGCCGTTGGGCGACGTGAAGCTGCTCTGACCCACAGGAGGCAGCAGGTTCTTCTCCTCCTGCTCCTCTTTCACTCTTGGAGGCGAAGGCTCAGACCTTTGCTCCACGGCAGACAGCAAAGACGTGGAATACGGCTGGAAGTGGGAAACATGTTGGAAACTCATTTTCCTCTCTTCTCCCTCTTCCTCCAACTCATCCCCCCCTTCAGGCTCCTGCATCTCCCGCTGTTCTCTGTCCGAATCTTCGCTCTCCTGCTTCAGCTCCGTCTGGTTCAGGACGGTTTGGGGGATCGGTCCGTCCGGTTCGTCACACAGCAGGGGGTCCGGCCTGGAGCCGCTGGGCCCTCGGGTCGCCGCGGCCTGATGGGCCAAGAGGAACTGAGCTTGAAGGAAATGTTTCTCCTGCAGGTTCATCTCCAGTTTGGTTCCTGGGTGCCTCTGCAGCTGCTCCATCACCGCCTCCAGCTTCACGCCTCCAGGAACGGACTGCTGGAGACTCCCCTCGTCAGAAAGGTTCGACTGTGGATGAAAACAAACAAAAAACACAAAATTATCAGAAGCTGAGAAACCTGATGCACCAATCAGTTGGCTGAATATCATAAGGTTTCCTCCAGAAAACACCCTGTGGTGGCCCGTCATTCATCCAGCAGCCCGTCATGTTTTTGAGTTAAACAGTTTTTAAAGTAGGCAGCAAAAGTTAAAATATCACTTGATACTAAAGCGTTACTTAACGATTGGAAGATTAATACCTGAACACTAAGTATAAAGTCTTAAAAATGCAGACATTTTAAAAAGATTTAAATAAATAAGCAATGCTAAGCCTGGTGGCCCACCAGGCTCACAATACACTGAGGGAAACCCAGAATCAGAATTGTAAAGTTTTTTCTTTATCGTCTCTGATTGGTGATTGGAACAGGGCTTATTTGTTTGTTTTTTTAGGAATAATTAATACGGGTTCACCAATTGCCAATCTTTACAAAGCCTGACCTTCTGATTCCAATTTTGACTGATTTTATTCTCTGAAATGTTGCTAGACATAGGAGGGAAGTAACAGTGGGGTGACTATTATAAACTGAAAACACGCAGATGACCTGGTGGGCCAGTCAAACGTCTCTAAAAGCAGAACAGCACAGCGGCTGATTTTAGACCTTTGATGAGGTAAATAAGATCAGCTTCACAAATAAGTAGAAGCCGATCTCCCAAATAAATTGATGCACCCATAATAATTAATGAATTACATCGAGGTCATCATTTAATCTTTTCTGTAGATCTATCCTAAAAACTGATAGACAAAAACTCTTTTTTGGTTACTTTGAACATATAACTGGAAAAAACTAAGAGCCCGCTGCACTGAACCCCATTGAAAACCTCTTGGTTACTCCACCAAATATTGATTCCTGAACTCTTCCTGAGTTAAAACATTAGTATTATTGTTTCTAAATGAATGTTTTCTTGCTTTCTTTGCATTATTTGAGGTCTGGAAGCACTAAATCTTTTTTGCTATTTTGACCATTTCTCATTTTCAGCAAATAAGAACAAAATAGAATAAACAACAATGTTCATTTTACTCAAACATATAAAAAATGGAAACTGGTCATTTTAAGTGGTCTCATTTTTTTTCCCACAGCTGTATATTACATATATATATACACAATTTCTGTACATTTGATTAAAAAAAAAAATAACGGATTTGTATGTTTCCAATCTCCCACTTTATTTAGCATTCTGAATTAATTTTGTCTTTTTTTATTGCTGTATGTTTATTTTTGCATGTTTTGCCTCAAACTTCTACACAATAACTCATATATGCTACAATAAGATTTTTATATAAAATGAACAGAAACAGGAAAAGATTTTTCTTCTCAAAACAGCAACACTGGTTTTGATTTTACTTTGCAAGTTTCCAGCAGCATTTATCATCCAATGACACCCAGAAATTAGATTTCATGAATTAAAACAAAAGTTTTTGCAAATGAGGTTGTGCTTGTTTTAGTTTTTGTAAAAAAATAAAAAAATATATGTAGAAACTTTCTTCAAAAAAATTAATAGGGCATATTGTAGTATTTGATACATAGAACCAAGTTGAATACTTATGATTACATTTGAAATATTTGTTCTAAAAAAAGTTTTGCGGAGTAAATAAAGTGAACCTTAAAATAAAACACAATCGGTATCGATCTGGAAAATAATGATCGGTTCATTTCTAGGGGATGAATGAACCGATAAATCGTTAAAACAACTATAACATCAAAGTCATCGGTGGAGGTTTATTGCAAATTTAAAGTTAATTTGAAGTTTTATAAGCTTATAAATAAAAACAGACAGTCATTCATTTACATGCATTCATCGCATGATAAACGTCCCGCTTTGCTAAACAGCGGCTAAATCGTGAACCATCTCACCCGGCGCCGTGTTTCTGTTGCAAACAGCGCGTTTCATTTCCCAGCTGGATTATCCTGCATTTCAGAGACAACCTCGTGGTAAATCTGCCCTCTGTAACGTCTTCATCAACCCACAGTCGCTTTGTTACTGTAACCAACAGGAGTGGGAGCGTCGAAACTCACCATTTGCGCCTTGGAGTAATTCATCGTCGCCAACAGGTTTGTTTTGTTTTCCTCGGTTCCTCCCGGCAGAATTCAGTCACATCTCCTCAGCAGCGCCGTCCTGCAGGAATGCGTTTTCTCGGGTTTTGTTTTGTTTTGCTCTTTTGGACCCGGGGTGACGTTAAAAGCCTGGGTTGGTGTGGGAGGCCGGTGCGGACGGAGCTGGAGGAGGAGGGGTAAATAACGCGCAGTGTTACCTCCCTGGTCACTGCGCATGGAAACTCAAACATCTTTGATTGTCCCTGACGAGGTGACCCCCTCACCCACAGCCCGGCTGAATGAAAGGCCCGCCCCGTGCGTAAAAAATCCTCAACTGTTTTTCTTTTTGTCTTCCTTTCCTGTCCTTGTTGGGAGCGATGAGAAACTTCCCACCCTCTCCACGACAAAACTCCCACTCGATGCACAACCCGGATTATTATTCAGTGAGATAACGAGAGCCCTGCTGTTAAAGAAAACAGCATAAAAAAGGTGAAAGCACGTTAAACTTAAATCTAAACTCTCCGTTTTCTCCAGTTGTAACTAAACACCCCGCGGTTCCAGCCAATCAAGCGTCTCATTGTTTGCGTGACGTTTGATTTTGGGGGACAAACCAAATATATATTGTATTTTTAAAAAAACGTGGTGTGTATTTGAACCACCTCATCTACAAATAGTCTGCGACTAATAATGGATAAAATCAAAGTTGAGCAATTAATTACATTTACTCGATTACATTTTAACTTTTTAGAAAAAAATCACTTTCAGGAGTATTTTTTATTACGCTTGTATGTTTTACTTTTACTTGAGTGAAATTTCTAGATTTTCTATCCACAGGATGAAAAGCAAACATAATTTATCTAAAAGTTCAGACCCAGACCTGCAATTTCTGTTAAAGTTTCATAAGTTTTATATTGAGAGAAAATGTTTTCTTTTACCTGATTGTTATTTTATTGTTACTTATAAGATTTATTGTCATTTTCATCCTTAAAATAACAGAAATTTCACTTAACTTTACATTTTAATCCATCTGATGACTCAGTACTTCATACTTTTAGGCAAATACTTTTAACTTTTACTTGAGTAAAAATCTGTTGATGAAGTGGTACTCTTATTGGAGTACAATTTTTGGGTTCTCTGGTTAAAATATTAAAGATTGAAAGCAAAGAATTTGTTAATTAAAAAAAAAAAAAACATGTATCACCACCATATTTCCCATTTGCTGTCTCTGGATGACTTTTTTCTGATTTTATTCTAGCCGTATTTGATCAGATTCTCCTACGCGAGTTGTTGACCCCTGCAGCTCCTCCAGAGTCACCATTGGGTTCCTTGGCAGCGACTCTGCTTGGTAGGTTCTTCGTTGTGCCAAACCTTTTCCATTTCCTGCTGACGTGCCGGATGGTGCTCCGGGAGATCGTCAAAGCTCTGGATATTATTTTACAACCAAACCCGGCTCTAAACTTTGACTTTGAGATTTCTTTGAAATATAAGGTGCGTTACAAATAAAAAATTTTATTATTATTATTCATCTCTGACCTGCCTGCTGTGTTCCTTGGTCTTCATGTTTATTCTCTGAAGGATTCACAGAAAAACTAATTGGATCACACCTAGGTGGGCCTAATTTACCAATAACTTTTAAGGGGAGCTGAATACTTACGCACAACTTTTCTACTTTGCATTTGGAAAGACTTTTAAAAATGATACACTTCACTATTTTGCACCACTTTAAGTTAATCTGAGATAATATTTGAGAAAAAACTCAGCAGGTATGAGTATTTCCCACAGGGCATTGAAAGAATGAACCAGAACTTTATTTGAAGTGCTTCTATTCTTACTCCAAGTGATAACGCTGTGGGTGGTAATCCCTGGTCATAGTTGCCCCACCCCGTCCTAAATAAAGCCCAAGGCAGAGGCAGTTGACATGTCCTGATTGATTACAGGATATGAACATAACTCTGGAGCAGCACTGAAGACCTTTCATGGATAAATGCAAAAAGAAACAAGAAAAGGGAAAAAATATACAAAAAATGCCAAATTTAATTGGTTTTCAAGATTAATTTCTACACCAATCTGCACATTTGGGTATAAAATATTTACCTACTTCAGTTAGTTTCAACAAATCTTGTTGGTTTACTCTACAGATCTAATGAAACCACTGAAAATGGCCAAATCTATTCAATTATTATACAAAAATATGTTAAAAAATATAAATTATCTTTGTAAACAAAAAAAAAGGCTAGATTTCCGAAAACTAGAAAAATTATATGCATGTTTCTAAAATAATTTTATAGGACTATTTGAAATTTGTATGGGTTCTGATTACATATTTGTACATGGATAAACAATATTCTTAATGATTATGGATTGATATGAAGAAATGTGAACAACTTAAAAACTAAAATGCTCAATGAGTTTTCATTAAGCATTTATGAAAACTCATTACGTTTTCATTGAGTTTAATGCCGTCAGTCAAAATAAGGCTAAAAATATAAAATATTTTTATGCATTTTATGAAAATATATAAAAACATTTTTTTATTTTATATATCTGAAAAATATAAATATATGTAGTTTGCGTATGTCTATATAATATTTATAAATATAAATATATTTGGCAAATATTTAATAAAAAATAACATATTTTACTCCTATATATAAAATAAAATCCATGCTTTAACTGATAGAATTTTTAAAAAAAAATCCCAAATAGTAATCACATTCCACCAATGCCATCATTGATAAATTTTATTCAACCCGCAAATACATTTTCCCTGAAATGAACAGATGTAACGCAGACGTGATACAGTAAGATGAATCCTGACATTCCTGTGACTCTGCTGCCCCCTGGCGGCAGGCCCTTCACAAGCGTTCAGATGGTGTGAATCTTTTGGTAATGCTTTGATCTAGAGCAACTTGTACTTAAGTACCTCTAAGCAGATTGTTGAACTTTCAAGAAACAAAAATAAAGATAAAATTCCAGTATGTGTACGACACATGAAGATAGTATATTTATCCATATTTTACAAGCAAAATAAACCAGTAAAGGCAAAATTTAATTCTGAGGTGTTTTGATGAGGCCAACATTTAAATGCAAGAGCTCGATCTTCTTGTACATCATCTGTGGAAAAAGAAGGGTTATTTAGAAGAGATGAAATTTTTGATTTCAATTAAAATGAAAAAACATACATTTTATCAAGTCCAAGCTCTTCAGGTGTGGAAATGCCGAGTTCGCTTAATACAGGCTTGAGCTCCTGGATCACGTACGGGTAGATGTCTTTATGAGGCCCGGCTTTGTCCTGAATCACAGTTAAACACCATTAGTTTACAACTAAAATCATTTTTCATTTTTGGCCGACATTATTCACAGACTTTCTGAATTTCTGACCTTCACCGCCTCCAGGATGCGGATGGCGCTGGCCAGGTCGTTTAGTCTGCGGCAGGCTCTCAGCGCCGCCTCAAGAATCTTTGGTTCTGGTACCAGGTCGTACCCGATCAACGTGTTCATCCCTGAAACACAGTTTACACTTTACGAGCTGCAGGAAACACAGAACAACCTATTATATTTCTGCAACCGGCGGCTCTGATTTGTGGTTCTAAATAACTTTTAAATATAAATATAAAAACAACTGGAGCTTCTAGCAATTTTACAGTTTTTCTTTTAATAATTTAATTGAATAAATGACACCAACAACATTTTTATATCTAATGTTCTTGTCTTTATGTTCCCTTTTTCCAGTATCGATTACATCCATCACTTGTTGCTAATACAAAAAAAAAAAAAAAAAAGTTTTTTCTGCATTTTAAAATCTAAAAATAGAAAGAAGGTGGAAAATTTAGGGTTAGGGTTTAGGGTGGAAAATGTAGATTTTCTTTCAAAAATAAATTTTCCATAGTAGATGCATGTCAAAAGTATATTTTCAGAAAGTCTGTAGATAAAAGCGCTGAGAAGCTGGGAGCATTTCACAGATTATTCTTCTCATACTGTGACAGTTTAAACAAATATGAAACAAATATCTAGATTTTCTTTCATAAAAAGTTACACACTGCAGCTTTAAATCTTCCATGCAATTAAATTGAATTTTAAATCTTCTCTTGAATTTAATCTGGACCCGATTCCTGTTTATGCTACTTAAGTTTTATGAAATAACAGAATATGAACCCACAGCAAAACCAAAACAACTAAACAAGCTCTGATAGATGTATTATTTATATATAAAATAAAAGTCACAACCACATTTCATCAGTGGACCAAAAGATTATAGAAAAATATTTTTAAATTGTTGGTTTAGTTTTTATTATCACTTAAAAAAATTGTAAGAAATAAATATTTTGTCTATTAGCTTACTCAGAGCTGTGGCTACTAAACAAACCATTAAAAATACAACAAATCACAGATTAATCTCAATAACTGATTTACATGAGTCAAAAATGCTAACATAAAACTTTAACACTGATTTATTTCCACAAAAAAAAATAAATAAATAAATAAATCATGCAGTTTGTCACATAAAGCAAGTAGAAATGTTTTTGACAAACCAAACCATATTTGGAAACATTTTTAAAAAAATAAACAAAACTAATTATCTAATGTAACATTTCCTGACTTCTCACTTCTCACCGGATGACAAGCATTGCTGTCTAAGTGCTTCTTTTTCCTGGTACTAAAAACTTGAAGTTCAACATATATTGGATCAGCTGAAAACAAAACAGCATTCACCATTATTTAGAGCAGTTTTTTTGTTGTGATAACAGCAGCCAAAAAAACAAACGAAAAAAAAGCTAAAATGCTGGATTTTGTTTTTAAAGCGTTGAAGTAAGGAACTTATCCAACAAATTAAGAGACAAAGGTTCTATCTTTTCCTATAAATGTATCAAAAACATAGCCAGTAAGCTAAGAGTAAACTTATACAATCACTTCTGCTTCCAACTTGGAGAGTAAAGACCTTAAATCAAATCTTTACGGCAATGAATTAAAAAATAAAACTCCAGATGCGGAAAAGCTCCTTCTATGGAAACACAAACGTGTATTTTATTGCATCTCGCTGTGCAATGAAAATCCCTAAACTCAAGTTTCAACTCGAATTACAGCAAACTTAAAAAAACTGATCTTTATGTTTCCAGGAATCAGTAAAGCAAAAAAAAAAAAAAAAAAAAGAAAAGCTATTACACCTCTACTATCATAAGGAAGATGTAATCTAAAAGTTTTGAGTACAAAATGACTTAAAATGCAGAAGGATGACATAATGAGCACTCCTCAACACTACCATCTCAAAAATAAGATGGTTATGACAGCAAAGGACCATCCAGCTAACTACATTAATATAATTTCCTATTCTAAGAGCTCATGTCTGCAATCCACAACACTGCTGATAAAAAAAAACTTTCAATTAAGGTTTAATCTAAAAACTGTTGAGAGACAATCCAAACTAATCTTAATACAGTCTGAAACTTAAAAAGATCCAAATGCATGGGTGTTGTGATGAGGAATTAATCCAGACTAATTG